GATTCTGTCAGATTGTCTTGTTTGAATCAGTATATATATATGTCTGTATCATCCATTTTCCATTTTAGTAATCATATCAAAAAGCAAATGTCATATAGTCTGCCTTAATCAAGAGCACATGGTGGCTTTTTCTTTTTATTGTGTTCAAAAACTTATTTACCCATTCTACAGTTTTTCAGTGGATATGTGGCAACTTTACTTATGGATTTTTTTCCTGGATTTCCATTTCTCCTTTTTTGAAAATTGAGAATGCATTCTCTCATTTCTGGTCTTTTGGCACCTTGCCAAGATAGCTTAGATAATTAGCAGTCAGATCTTAAAGTTTTTTCAGTACCATGGAGTATGATTTGTTTGGATCAGAAAGCAAATTCTTTTGAACTAGCTCTCTATTCCATTACTGTCCACTTTCCATGCCACTTACCTTAGATGTTAGCTTTGTTTTATCAGAGTTCTACCTTTCCTAGTTTGAACATCATGCTCTTTGGAGAAGATTATGTAAACAAAGAAGAAACTGAAAGGATCTGTATTATCCCTGTTATTTCTTGATATTACAACATCTTCCCTAAGCAGTGGGCCCTTTGTTTATGTCTTCTTGTTCTAAACAAGACTTAAAAAAAAATTGTCCTCTGTCTCAGTTCTCCACTCATTGTGGACTTTATACTTATTGTTTTGATTTTATCTTTTTATTTGTACTTATTCTTTTAAAAAATCTAACTTATCAGAAAGCTCCATGTTCATCCAAAGAGAAAAAAGTCTGGAAATACAGGATTTATGTGAAGAAAAATGAACCTTGAACCCAGGAGACCAGGTAACCTTAGACATGCCCCCCCCCTTTTTCATTTATAATGTGGAGATAATGATAATAGTCTTTTTTGGCTCTAGGGTGTTAGAGAAGAAAAAATGAGGCTAAATGTGAGACATAGATGTCTTAGGGAATGGGGTTAAAGAGAAAGAAAAACATTCAGAGAGATCAACAAGCCGCACTGGTGAGAGACGTAAGGTGGAGAATTTGAAGTAGGTTTTTAAAATATCACGGGAATTAGAAGTGGATCCTCTGGATTGTGGTGGTGGTAAGGATGATATAAATGGATGATATAAACTTCAGATTAAGAGAAGTGCCTTGTTGAGAAATTAAGGAAACACTCCCATTTACCATCACATCAAAAAGAATAAAATACCTAGGAATAAATCTACCTAAGGAGGCAAAACACCTGTATTCCAAAAACTGTAAGACGCTGATGAAAGAAATTGAAATGACACAACAGATGGAAAGATATACCGTGTTCTTGGACTGGAAGAATCAATGTTGTTAAAATGACCATACTGGGACTTCCCTGGTGGCACAGTGATTAAGAATCCACCTGCCAATGCAGGAGACATGGGTTCGATCCCTGGTCCGGGAAGATCCCACATGCTGTGGAGCAGCTAAGCTCGTACACCACAGCTACTGAGCCTGCACTCTAGAGCCCATGAGCCACAACTACTGAAGCCCACATGCCTAGAGCACGTGCTCTGCAGCAAGAGAAGCCACCGCAATGAGAAGCACATGCACCACAACGAAGAGTAGCCCCCACTTGCCACAACTAGAGAAAGCCTGCACACAGCAACGAAGACCCAATGCAGCCAAAAATAAATAAATTAAAAAAAAAAATAAAATGATCATACTGTCCAAGGCAATCTACAGATTCAGTGCAATCCCTATCAAGTTACCAATGGCATTTTTCATAGAAATAGAACAAAAAATTTAAAAATCTGTATGGAAACACAAAAGACCCTGAATAGCCAAAACAATGTTGAGAAAGAAGAGCGGTGCTGGAGGAATTATGCTCCCTGACTTCAGACTATACTACAAAGCTACGATAATCAAAACAGTATGGTACTGGCACAAAAACAGACATATAGATCAACGGAACAGGATACAAAGCCCAGAAATAAACCTATGCACTTATGGTCAAATAATCTATGACAAAGACAAGAATATACAATGGAGAAAAGACAATCTCTTCAATAAGTGGTGCTGGGAAAACTGCACAGCTATGTGTAAAAGAATGAAATTGGAGGGAATTCCCTGGTGGTCATGGTTAGGACTTGGCACTTTCACTGCCGGGGCCCAAGTTTGATACCTGGTCAGGGAACTAAGATCCTGCAAGCTGTGTGGCATGGCTAAAAATAAACAAACAAACAAACAAATAAATAAAAGAATGAAATTAGAACATTCTCTAACCCCATGTACAAAAGTAAACTAAAAATGGATTAAAGACCTAAATGTAAGACCAGATACTATAAAACTCATAGAGAAAAACATAGGCAGAATACTCTTTGACATAAATTTGAAGCAATATTTTTTTGGATCCATCTCCTAGAGTAATGGAAATAAAAACAAAAATAAACAAATGGGACCTAACAGAAGTGCCTTGTTAGTGGCAATTCAGGATTTTGGGGAATAAAAAGTGAATTTTTCCTAATTAGTATAAAATCTTGATCAGGACACTTCTAGATCCCTGGTATGTAATATGTGGGTGTTTATTAACTTATTTAGTGAAACTTGATTGAATACCTGCCTAGTATAACCTAATATACTAGATATTAAGGGAATATATGAGAGGTCATCTCTGCCTTCAAGGGCCTTATGTTCCAACAGAGGTGGTTAGTTAGCCTCTTATAGATATACACAGGAAATTTCTATTTACTAGACCTGGGCTTTCTCCCTCTTCCCTCCACCCCACTCAAAAGTAAGCATTTATTGAACACTGACAGCATTGGAATTTTTAAAAGGTGTACAGTTAAGTGATTTTTAGTATAGTCACGAAGTTGTACAATCATCACCACTATCTAATTCCAGGACATTTCACTCCAAAAAGAAATCCCACACCTATTAACAGTGATTCCATGTTCCTCTTTCCCCCCAGCCCTTAGCAACTACTAATCTTATTTCTGACGTTATGGATCTGCCTATTTTGGACGTTGCATATAAATGGAATCATACAGTATGTGGCCTTTTGTGATTGGCTTCTTTCACTTAGCCCGACATTTTCAGGAGTCATCCATGTTGTAGCATGTATCAGAACTTTATTCATTTTTATGGTTGAGTAATATTCCACAGTATGGATGTATATGGCACATTTTGTTTTTCTGTCAGTTGATGGACATTTGGGTTGTTTACACTTTTTGGCTTTATGAAAAATGCTGCTGTGAACATTCATGTACAAGTCTTTGTGTGGACATATGTTTTCAATTTTCTTGTTTAACTCTAACATTTTGAGGAACTAGCAAACTTTCCTAAAGGAGCTGCAACCATTTTAGGTTTTCCCCAGCACTGTATGAGGGTTCCAATTTCTCCACATCCTCTCCAACACTTGTTACTGTCTTTTTGATTATGGTCATCCTAGTTGGAGTCCTAGTTGAAGTTGTGGATCAATGTGGTTTCGATTTGCATTTCCCTAATGATGTTGAGCACATTTTTATATGCGTAACGGCCATTTATATATCTTGTTTGGAAGAATGTCTATTCAGATCCTTTGCTGGGCTTGATTTTAACTTTCTGTATTAAACATTCCCTTAGTAAACCATACTGTCCAAATCCCACAGCACACAGATGCTCCAGGGGTAGGTTAACTCTGGTTTGTCTGTGTATCATTTGATTTCTCTGCTTACCAAGAATCAGTTGTGTTTGTTCTCAGATTTACTTATACCACTGGTAGTTGTGAGTATAAATTAGTAAATATTACTCAAATAGATGAAATGTGAATGCACGAGGAATTGTTTTTATGCATTGCTTTGGAAAGACTTGATAAAGGCATGAAGCTGAAAGAATTGCCTTTCAATGAATTACATTGTGGTAAAGACAGCTGAAACAGATTGGGGAAACCTTATAAATCTCTGGAAGGACTCTGCTCCTAGCAAACTTTGCAAGTATTTTTAAGTCCCGTTCTACTGTAAAAGAGAGGAAAACGGACATTGTAGATAATGGACTATGAGTGTGGTTTATCCAAGGAAGGGGGGAGCTGCATTTGGCAGACCCGAAGGTCTTGATGGCACATGGGGAAATGAATGTACATTTATATGTTTAAAGTTAAAAATGGTTATAATATGTATGTGTCATTTTAAAAAATGATTCCTTGCTCTACCTGACTTTTATGATTAATTCATCAGTGAGAGTTTCCACTATGCAAGGTGCCCTAAGGAAGATACAGATACAGTGTTGAGGGAATGAATAATTCTGATTTCTAGGCATCAAAACAACACTTTCTCTGAATAAGTGGCACTCTAGCTGGGTTTTACAGGCAGAATGTGAGCCTGAAACACCAGCCCCACTTTTGCCTGAGGTCTTTGCTGTTGATGTTCCTTTTGCTTGGAAACTTCTTGTCCCAGTTGTTTATCCCCTCATCTCCTTCACGTCTTTAATATCACTTGCAAAATGATGCCCTAAAATTGCACGCTTTTCCACCTTCCACCCCTTCTGCCCCTCTTCCACTCTAATCCTCATTTATGTTTTCTTCCTGCTCCAAAGCACCTTTTCCTGTGTGACCTGTTATACATGTTACTTATTCTCCGACTCCTCTGTGTAGATCCATGAGGGCAGGGATTTTTGTCTGTTTCTTTCATTGCTGTGTTATCTGTGCCTAGAACTGTGTCTGGCACAAAATTAGATGCCCATCTCATACATTTTTTTAAATTAATTAATTAATTTTATTTATTTATTTTTGGCTGTGTTGGGTCTTTGTTTCTGCGCGCGGACTTTCTCTAGTTGAGGCGAGCGGGGTCTACTCTTCGTTGCAGTGCGTGGGCTTCTCATTGCGGTGGCTTCTCTTGTTGCGGAGCATGGGCTCTAGGGCGTGCAGGCTTCAGTGGTTGTGGCATGCGGGCTCAGTAGTTGTGGCTCACGGGCTCTAGAGCACAGGCTCAGTAGCTGTGGCGCACGGGCTTAGCTGCTCCGCGGCATGTGGGATCTTCCTGGACCAGGACTCAAACCCGTGTCCCCTGCATTGGCAGGCAGATTCTAAACCACTGTGCCACCAGGGAAGCCCCCCATCTCATATTTATTTGTGGAATTAATGACTGAATGAACGTAGAAACTGAGAAGAGTTGGAAGGGGTATTCTCTGGGCCATGGGAATGCTGTTGGAAAAGGTACAAAGATGCGACAGTGAGGGGAATATTTGGGGATACTGGGATGTGGGGATTAAGGCAGGAGGTGAGTTGCACAACTGCCACCATGTTAGAGGAAGGCCTTGAAGGCTGAGCTGAAGGTTTGGCACTTGCTCTGAAGACAAAGGGAAACTTAAAGGATTCGAGTGACATTGTGGTTTTAGAAAACAAAGTCTGGAATTGTTGAAGATGAAAGGGAGAAGGGAAGAGACTGGGAGCATGGTGAAAGATAACAGTAGTGGAAATGGGGAGAACTCAGAGGAATTGTTTGGCCTGCACTGTATTTTTAAAAATTGCATTGGTTGTTAACCATTAAAAATCTTGAGGTGTCACTTAAATATCTGGATTGTGGTCTGCCCTTCTAAACTTGGAGGTATTGGTAACATTAGGCTCCTGCCACGTGGCAAAAATCCTCCAGAGTTGTCTAGTGGGGCATCAGCTGTTCACTTTGTTAGTCCCTACCCAGCCATCCTTTCATTGACCTTTTTCTCCCTTAGCTTCTGGATCACCTGCCATAGGAGGCGGGATGAACTGTGATGCTCTTGATTTGGGATGGAGAGCCTGTTTGGAGGAGGGTCAAATTGGTGTGTATTCCTTCCCTCATTCCTGTTACTCACCATCACCAACTTAAATGCAAATCCTTATTTCTGCAGTTTCAAACCCTTACCATCTGAGCACCTCTCCTGCCTGTACTCCTTGCAACTTCTGCTGTATTGTTCTTTTTTTTTTTTTTTAACATCTTTGTTGGAGTATAATTGCTTTACAATGGTGTGTTAGTTTCTGCTTTATAACGAAGTGAATCAGCTATAGGTATACATACATCCCCATATCTCCTCCCTCTTGCGTCTCCCTCCCACCCTCCCTATCCCACCCCTCTAGGTGGTCACAAAGCACCAAACTGATCTCCCTGTGCTATGCGGCTGCTTCCCGCTAGCTGTCAATTTTGTATTTGGTAGTATATATGTCCATGCCACTCTCTCACTTCGTCCTAGCTTATCCTTCCCCTTCCCCGTGTCCTCAAGTCCATTCTCTACGTCTGCGTCTTTATTCCTGTCCTGCCCCTAGGTTCTTCAGAGCCATTTTTTTTTTGTTAGATTCCATATAATAGTTTTAGCATACGGTATTTGTTTTTTTCTTTCTGACTTACTTCACTCTGTATGACAGACTCTGGGTCCATCCACCTCATTACAAATAGCTCAATTTTGTTTCTTTTTATGGCTGAGTAATATTCCATTGTATATATGTACCACATCTTCTTTATCCATTGATCTGTCGATGGACACTTAGGTTGCTTCCATGTCCTGGCTAATGTAAATAGAGCTGCAGTGAACATTGTGGTACATGACTCTTGTTGAATTATGGTTTTCTCAGGGTATATGCCCAGTAGTGGGATTGCTGGGTCATAATGGTAGTTCTATTTTTAGTTTTTTAAGGAACCTCCATACTGTTCTCCATAGTGGCTGTATCAATTTACATTTCCACCCACAGTGCTGCACTCTGTTCTTTTCCTTCTCAACCTTTGCCTTGAATCCACCTCCTACCTCTTCGTATTTGAAAGCTACCCTGCTATCTCTGACTATACGATTTTCCTTGAAACACTCTCTAACGATATTTTTTATCATATTTAGTTTTCCTTTATTAGTTTTATATCTTAGTTTTAGTACTTCCTCTTTTTCAACTTTCCCTTTTTTTTCTTTCTAAATTCTTGAGGTGGAAACAAATCATTGTTTTTCTTTTCCCTTAAGACCACAGGCATTTTTGATAACATTCCTTTCATCATTGTTGTAAAATTTATGAATTTAGATATGTTACAGATAAACTGTTTTGTGGTTTTGCATTATGGTCTAAGAATGTGTCATAGAATTTCTAGGTTTTCACATTAGAACTGGCTGTGTCTCTGCGTTCTAGTATGAGAACACATTTTATGAAATATACCTCAGAAAATAAAGTGTTATTTCCTTGGCTTCTTAGTCTCCTATTATATAACTTTTAAAAAAAAATTAATTTATTTAGTTATTTTTGGCTGCGTTGGGTCTTCGATGCTGCACGTGGGCTTTCTTTTTTCTAGTTGTGGCGAGCGGGGGCCACTCTTCCCCGCAGTACGTGGGCCTCTCACTGCGGTGGCCTCTCCCGTTGCGGAGCACGGGCTCTAGGCGCCCGCGCTTCATTAGTTGTGGCATGTGGGCTCAGCAGTCGTGGCTCACGGACTCTAGAGCGCAGGCTCAGTAGTTGTGGTGCATGGGCTTAGTTGCTCCGCGGCATGTGGGATCCTCCCGGACCAGGGCTTGAACCCGTGTCCCCTGCATTGGCAGGTGGACTATTAACCACTGCGCCACCAGGGAAGTCCTCCTATTATATAACTATTAATTTTACTTAAACTTAAAAATTTTTTTTGAATTTTAAACTTTGAGGTAAGTTGATGTAGTATACCCAGGTTTCCCAGTTAAGGTTTCACCACATTTGCTCTATCATAGTCTCTTTCTGTATCTAAGTCTATCTATCTCTATCTCTATCTATATGTATGTATATCTCTATCTACCTTACATCTATATCTATATCTATATTATATCTATATCTATGTATCTAAATCTTTCTTTTCTGAACCTGACTCTGCCAGGTTGGCTCCTACCAAGGGAAATGGTTTAATTTATGCTTTATATCAGTTCTGTACTTTTAATTCTTTGTGTAGTCGTCTATTGTTAATGAAACATTGAAGCCTCCAGTTATGATACAGGTTTACTTTTCACAATTTTTCTTATATTTTTGTTATTCTGTTAGGGACATATACATTGAATAGTTTTTGTTTCATTTTTTGTTGTACTTTTTATTTTTGTGCAAGGCAGATTTAAAGAATCTCCTGAAGTCATAATGTTGCCCATTCCTTTTTGGATTTGTGTTGTTTTTTAGTTTTTAAGTGTTGGGATTTGTTTCCCAATGTATATGTAGACCATTCTGCTTTCATAGGTATTCAGCCCATTTACATTAAGTGAAGTAATTATGATATTTGTACTACCCTCCATGATCGTGATTATCTTTTAAAATGTAAAATCCAGTTGTTTTTAGTATAGCCACAAGGTTGTGCAACCATCCACAATCAATTTTGGAACTTTTTTGTCCTCCCCAAAAGAGACTTCATATTCTTTAGCAGTCACTCCCCAAACCCCACTCCCACAGCCCTAGGCAACCACTAATCTATCTTTTGCTGTAGATTTGCCAAGTTTAGACATTGCATATAAGTGGAATCATACAATATGTGGCCTTTGGTGATTGGCTTCTTTCACTTAGCATAATGTTTTCAAGGTTCATCCATGTCATAGCATGTTTCAGAATTTCATTCCTCTTTATGACCAAATAATAGTTCATTGTATGGATAATACCACATTCTGTTTATCCATTCATCACCTGATGGACATTTGGTTTGTTTCTACTTTTGAGCTATTATGAATAATGCCGCTATGAACATTCATGCACACGTTTTTGTGTGCACATATGTTTTCAGTTTTCTTGGGTACATACCTAGGAGTAGAATTGCTGGGTCACATGGTAAGTCTATGTTTAACATTTTGAGGAACTGCCAAACTGTTTTCCTAAGTGGCTGCACCGTTTTACATTTTCACCAGCAATGTCTGAGGGTTCTAATTTCTCCATATTCTGGCCAATACTTGTTACTGTCTTTTTTATTATAACCAACCATCTTTTAAGTTCATATATGTTATCCCTCATTTCTCCTATATATGTGATTTCTCTAATGGCGTGTAAATTTTCAATTAAAAAAATTAATTAATTTTTGGCTGTGTTGGGTCTTTGTTTCTGTGCAAGGGCTTTCTCTAGTTGCGGCAAGTGGGGGCCACTCTTCATCGCGGCGCATGTGCTTCTCACTATCGCGGCCTCTCTTGTTGGGAGCACAGGCTTCAGACGCGCAGGCTCAGTAGTTGTGGCTCACGCGCCGAGTTGCTCAATGGCATGTGGGATCCTCCCAGACCAGGGCTCGAACCCGTGTCCCCTGCATTAGCAGGCAGATTCTCAACCACTGTGCCACCAGGGAAGCCCTCAATTTTGTAAAAGCTGAATTCGGAGATAATGTCAACCCATTTACCTCCTCCTTCCCTCTCCCCCCTTTTTTACATTATTAGAAACATTGTTTTAGCAGAACTATTTTCATTATTCATACTATTAATTCCATTATTAGCTTCTCTCATGGGAGAAATGAAGCATTTAGGATTTTGCATATTTTTCTTCTCATGTACTTTGAAATTCTATGTTTAAATCTTAAAACTCCCTCAGTATTTGCTTTTAGTTTATTAGATGATTTACTGTTAATCTTTTGTTACTATTTGAATCTATTTCCTTTTTACAAGTGTCATGTATTTTTCATGGCTCAGTAGTTTCATCAGTTTTTGAATTCTAAAGTTCTTAACATATTCTTCTGCCTTCAGAAACTTTTCAGCCATGGCGCCATCCCTCTCATTTTTGTGCAAATATTCTGAGTCTTTCTTTTCCATGGTTTAAAAAAAAAAAAGCAAAGAAAAGAAAAAAAAAGGAAAAAACAACCCACACCTTTTTTCTTTGTTATAAAGGCAGTATTTGTTTGATATAAGAAATTTGAGGAATATGGAAAAATGTAAAGAAGAAGTCTGTGTTGATTGCCATTCTCCTCTGCAGTATCGTAATGTTTATGCTGAAACTACTTCAATTTATACCAGAAAAAGTTTGAACTTTTTCCTTGATATGGGTGTTTGCTTTGGCATATCCTGTTTAACCTGGAGCCACTATTGTTCACAGGACAGATCTTTTGGAATTTTTCAGTTTACCTTATTTTGCCTTGTCAGCTTTCGTATAATACTGTTTTACAAGTGAATCTAAACTGCTGTTATTTCTATTTCAATTCTGTTGTTTATAGCCTTATTGTATATTTAGATCCTCTATTGTTCACAAGTCAGCTCAGTCTTTGTATAGTGTCTTGTGTTCATTTTTTCATAGTTTTTTTCACTTTAAAGTAGTTTGAGATATTTTTTAGGTGGTGCCATTATGTTTACCATTGTTTCCTTCTCCATGTTCAGATCATAAGTGCTTCCTAATTACCATTTAATTAAACTTAGTTTTTAAAAAAATTATTCACTATTTTATAACAGTTTGCCATGGTTTAAGGTTGTGGTTGTATCAGAGTTTCTGTCCCAAAGGGGAGAAGTAACCTTTACAGTTTCCAGTGGTCTTTTGTAAAGATGTCATTTAATCTTTGCAACCCTCAGAGGAGTGATTATTATACCCATTTTTACTCTAGGGAACTGGGATTTCTCAGAGAGATTTAGTGTTGGCCAAGATTATATAGTTACTTAATCAAATAATCAAAACTCTGAATCTGGAACTCTTTCTAATGCACCAGAGTTTGTGAAGTCCTTTTAAAGTTCTCTTTTAGAATAGTTAATATCAGTTTCTTCCGTGCCAACTTGCAGGTTGTTTTGTAGATTTCTGTCCTTGTGGGTGACTTCTGGTTTCTGGCTACCTCCCATTCCATTTGGTATTGCAGACACTAAGGAATAGTGGTTTGAAATAGAGCCAGAGATGGGAATTCCCTGGCGGTCCA